TAAATGAATATACGCGTATTTCCAGGCACAGTAGAACTTTAATTGACCACGTTTATTCCAATTTTGATTCCATTTGTTCAGTTACGGATACTGATTTGAAAATAACCGATCATGAGACTTTAGTGATTAATGTCTTAGACCATGTTAACGATAACGATAATTTTGTAAAATTGAAGTGCTGGAGGAAATATTCGAAGCAAGCTGTTTCAAATCTTGTTGAGAGAAGCCTGGATTTTCCATTCGCGGCCGGTAACTTAGATGAATCTACAGCTGTTCTTAATAACGCTTTGAAAACGTGTACCAATCAACTAGTTGAGCAAAAGTTTGTTTCTTTGAAAAACTCGAACAGCTGGTACAATTTGGATCTTTTGCGTCTTAAACGGAAAAGGGACAAATGGTACAAAAAGTTTTGTAGATCTAATAATGACAATCATTGGACTAGGTACACAATCGCGCGTAATAAGTATTCACAATCGATAAAGAAAACTCGTTGTGAATATGTTCAAAGGAAGATTGATCAGCATCAAAACAACAGCAAAGAGTTATGGAAAATTTTGAAATCTTTATTAAAACCTAGTAATTGCAAACCGCGGTCCATAACTTTTAATGGCACATTAGAACAGTCAGAACAAGTAATTGCAGATAAGTTTAATGATTATTTTGTAGACAGTGTTTCATTGATTAATCAATCCATTGAATTGGTCGATGAACCTGACGAAATAAAACAGCCAGTTAATAGTAGTCGTAGATTTGAAGTTTTCCACCCACACATTAGATGAACTTAGAGTTATTTGTTTTTCATTAGGAAAATCGACTGGAGTAGATAATGTTAATGCTAGAGTTATTCAAGATTGCTTTCATGTCATTGGCCACATCTTTCTGGACCTTATTAATGAATCATTGCAGAATGGACATGTGCCACAAATTTGGAAGGAATCCTTAGTGATTCCTATTCAAAAAGTTGCTGGAACGATTAAAGCCGAAGAGTTTCGTCCCATCAACATGTTGCACACATTAGAGAAAATCTTAGAACTTGTTGTTAAAGGCCAGCTGTTGGAGTATTTGAATAGCAACTCTTTGTTGATACCAGAACAATCGGGATATCGGGAAGGTCATTCTTGTGAAACTGCATTGAATTTGGTGTTAGCAAAGTGGAAAGACAACTTGGAGCGTAAAGATACGATTGTTGCTGTTTTTTGGATCTGAAACGCGCTTTTGAAACAATTTCTAGGCCCTTACTGTTAAGTACAATCAAGCGCTTTGGAATTACGAGTACTGCATATAAATGGTTTGAAAGCTATTTGTCTGACAGAACTCAACGGACTGTTTTTAATGATTATGTTTCCAGTCCCGTGGGGAATACCCTTGGAGTGCCCCAGGGAAGTGTATTAGGGCCCCTTTTATTTATTATGTATATTAATGACTTGCGACGTGTTTTACGGTTTTGCGACATTAACCTTTTTGCAGATGATACTGTGTTATTCATTGCAGCTAAGGATTTAGAAGTTGCCGTCTCACACTTGAATGAAGATTTGCAGTATCTAAGTAGATGGTTGAAGTGTAAGCAGTTAAAATTGAATACAAGTAAAACTAAATTTATGGTAATTTCGCGGAATCGATTAAATGAGAACGTCTCTGTTGTAATTGATGATGAGACTTTTGATCGCGTTCAGGAGATTAAATATCTTGGCGTGATTATTGATGACAAACTTAAGTTCAACTCTCACATTGACAATGTCATCAAGAAAATTGCCAAGAAGTATGGAATTCTATGTCGATTGAAAAACGATTTAACTATTGCCAGTAAAATACAGCTATACAAATCAATCATCTCTTCTCATCTAGACTTTTGCCCTTCCATTTTATTTCTGTCCAATGCAACACAAATATCGAGATTACAGCGCTTGCAGAATAAAATAATGCGTTTGATTTTGAGATGTAATAGATTCACTTCCTCAACTTTGATGTTAGACGCCTTACAATGGTTGTCGGTGAAGCAAAGAATTGTATATTTGACTATGGTGTTCATTTTTAAAGTAGTTAACGGTTTGCTGCCTCGATATTTGTGTGATCGAATTGAAAGAGGAAGTGACTATCATAGATATAATACTAGAAACGCGGATGAAATAAGAACACCACATTTCTTGACTTGTGCTTCACAGAATTCATTATTTTTTAAAGGAATAAATGTTTTCAATTCGATGCCTAGACACATTAAACGTTCAACAACATTAGCAGAATTTAAGAGACATTGCATTTCACACGTTAAAACTGTCTTTTGAACGGTTATCCAGTGATTTTTTTTTATGAATTGACAAATTATGTATCTTGACGAAGTTATTTTTAACGGATTACTTTGTATGGATAGCTGTTATAACGACTTTTTAATAATTATTGTAGCACTGCAAAAACTATTTTGTTCGCCACGATGGTGATGATGGATTTTTGATATATGATTTAATAGTAGTAGTAAAAAAAATAGTAGTCTACAAAGGTTTGAGCCTCGCGCGCGTATTACGGATATAGAGGACTGAATTTAACATTTGATAAAAAAAAAAATGCAATTTTGAAGCACTATTGAGTTAGTAGTAAGTTTTCTGGCAAATGTTGGGGGTTCGTGAGCATTCCTGACATTGCTGAAAATTATGATAGCATCAGATTGCGGGGTTACTAGTGTAATAGGATGCTTTGTTCATTGTTCATTAACTCTTGATTGCTTGTCATACTTATGAATATTTTAGGTGGCGAATATTTTACAAAAAGGCGAACTAAGAGGTGGACGCCTGAGCTTTTCAACATTTATATCGCTGTGAAGCAACTGTAAACTCTAGAGGGAATTTATATCTGTAACTGAAACCAGTTCGATTTTGTTTGCCAACCTGGTTAAAATGTCATATTTAATTATCTTAAAGATAAATCGTCCAGCTCAAACCTTTGTAGGGGTAAGAGGTGGGACCATCATCATCATCATCATCATCTTATATAAATATACCGTGAAACTAAAAATTGTATACCCAAAATATTAGTATTTTTAGTTTTGCTGATTGCACGTACTTCCATTAATTACGATTATGTACGCTCCTTTATTTCCTTTTAATTCCGTTATAATTGCTTATCTTTTGACAGATTCGCGTATTTCGTCTACTACTTGCAGATTCCGTTAAGAGGTTCGACAAAATTAAAAGATCCAATCTTTACTTTTCTCATATTCGAGAATTTGTTCCTGGACAAACCTGGAAATATATGGGGCAAATTTCCTCATCGTTGAGTTCCTGCACTTTATGTGAATTATGAGTTAACTAAACTCAAATTTGGGTCGCCGCACTCCTAAAAATCACTGTCGACTGTCATTGAAACAATTTTTTTTTTCAAATATTTCTAAATAGGATTAGCCGGAATTATTAAGTGATTCAATGGTCAAGATCAAAACAATACAACCTAATCGATTCTTCTTACACTGAGGCAAATAAACTTAAGAATTTCATAAGGTTTGACCTATGAACGACACATATGAGTTTCATAAGCTTGTCTTATGAATGATTTTCGTACAACATGAGGTAGCTCTTATACGCCTTTAATCATTTAATTTATCCAAGCGTTGAAAGACGAGTGGTCAATACAAGGGTCCCGAAATCTCAACACATTTGGTCAACATTATTTTTCATAAGGCAAATCATTGCATAACGCATCGATTTCTTTGTGGCTAAAATTCGTAAGTGGTTCTTATGAAATTCTTACGTTATTTTGCCTCAGTGTGGTGTTGTATGTTTTTTTCAATTTCAATCACCTCCCAGCCACTGCACACTGACCTTTGCTACATGTTTTCAAACAAATTGACAAACAATCTCCACGAGGACTGTAAGCTTCAGGCGAGATAGTTCCAGTAATTTTTCGAATAAAAATAAATCACCCGAATGAATCACCCAAGCGCAACCTTTTTGAAATCGAGCAGAATAATTCTCACGATAAGAAATCAACCACAACAACAAGTCAAGCATGAATGGATACATCAGGGCCCAGGGTGGTTTCACAGTGATGTAACGTTACTTGCTTCTTATCAGCAGCACCAGCAACCTGACGATGCGGAAAGGTCGGCATCGCTCCGCATTTCTAGGAAATTAGAGCATAGCTTTGGACAAATTCCAACGCACGAACGGAGAGCCAGCAAAATCAATAACCAAGAAAACGGGTAGAACGAACTTTCACAAGCGGCAATTAAAATTCTACTCGACCATTCTTGAAACTTGTACCTAAGCGCTAAGCATGTGTGCAGAAGGGGAACACGTATACCAAACAAGGATGCTAGACGGAAAGGGATGTCAAAGTCAAGTCATACGACCTAGTTTCGAGTTTTCGGTAGAGATGAACCAGCCTACGGCTGAAAATCTCTTCAATAAAGACAACCAACCAATCGCTAATTCCGGTAATTCCAAGGATAAACCGGATTTCAATGGCTGCTCCACGTATCGAAATGTGCATTGTTGATTTGATTTAATTGCCCCCATCATCTTGTGATTGAAATTCTTTAGTGAGATGGACACGATCCCCTACTACAAACCGCTTCCAGGTGTGAGTTACTATATGAGATAATAGTAAACACCCGAGAGGCCAGCGGAGGGAAATGTAAGGAGCTGAAGCTGGAGGATTTCGTGAAGCATCAGAAGTGCAGTTCGGCTCATCTCAAGAGTCCTCTCTCTCCCCCCCAGTCACCGTCATAGTTCTCATGTTCCCAATCCATCTGGAAGAACGAGTATTGTTCTGTTTTCACATCGCATTTTACCCACTGACACAGCTGCCAGAGTAAAAACACAACAAAATCGAACGTGTCAACATTGCGATGAATGAATCATTCCCCATCCAATCGGTAGGTTTTCTCTTGCTTCGGAAATCGATTTTTCTCCGCCATGAAAACGGTGCGGGGCTTCACTGCTGCCAGCACCTTGACCTATCATCCGAGGTGAACACTTTTAGGACTGCACCACTTCCCAACGGGTACTTACGATAGCTTCCTTTTATCCATTTTTGATGTCCCTGCGGTAGCTGCCTTCGATTCCAGGTGCTAACGTTCCTCCTTCTTCTAACAAGCGTACTCAAGAGCGGCCAACCCGCTCGGTATCACAAAGTTTTTGACTTTTTTTTCGGGTGTGTGTGCGAAGAGATGTTCACAAGCTCTGGTTCTTCGTTTTCGTCCTTTGGTTTCTCCTTCTTCCGAAATCCCGAAAAATCGGGCTTCCTCCACTCGACACGACTATGATCCGCGGATTCCCCTTACGTTCCCGGAATGTACGTTACGTTCCTTCGATGTGACGTTGGAAAAAATGCCTCCACGAAAATTTTCACACCTAATTTGCACGCGATTTCGAATTTTCTTCGCGTTTTTTCCGCACCACCAACACTACACGACGATTTTCAATCCGCTCTCACTCTCACTATCAATTCAAGTTTCTTCTACTTCAACCGAACGAAAATTATTCGGAAACCTCTGCGCGATGCGTTTTTTTTCCTTACTTCTAACTGCTTCGGATCGGTTTGCTTGCCTGCTTTGGGCAGATGGTGAACAAAATTTTTCAGGCAGCTGACGGGTGAAACACTCGGCGGACAGATTGATCAGTTCACGAAGATTTGCCGCACTCTTCTCTCACCCGTAAGTTTTGACAGTTTTGGGTGGTTTGTTTTGGCTCCCATTCGTTGCTATCTCTTTTACTCAGAAGCAAAATGATAGGGAGCAAAAAGTGAGGTTAGGGACCGTGCACTGATCTATTGATCAGTTCACGAAGATTTGCCGCACTCTTCTCTCACCCGTAAGTTTTGACAGTTTTGGGTGGTTTGTTTTGGCTCCCATTCGTTGCTATCTCTTTTACTCAGAAGCAAAATGATAGGGAGCAAAAAGTGAGGTTAGGGACCGTGCACTGATCTATAAGCGAGTTTGGACGGACGAACGACTTCTAAACTGCAAATTAGCAGGGAATGGGAAAACGTCAGATTAGAAACTCACTCATTCTCGCGCAACACGAGAAAAGGGCCTATCATTGTTGATCGATCTTCATCGATTTTCTGTTTCGTGAATAACCCGACTGTAAATGAATTTCCCATTCAGTGTGTTGGTTGTTTCATGCGCAAGCTAAATAACATCATCTTCTGTCGAACTGTGCTGCGAGCTTATTGAGTATTAAATTCGTTTATGTGGCCGCATAAACTCGAACCAACCTTACCGAAAATGTTTGAAAACTGTGTATAATCCCTGTTAAACTTTAGCTGATATGGCTATGGAACTTTAGATGATGTGATAAAGTTTGAACCTAATGTATTACCATGTATTACGGTTTTTTGGCAGTGAATTTGAAAATTCAGTAGAAACGGTAAAATCACAATTTTGATTTGAATTTCAAGCTACAATATAGCAAAAACCACATAGGACGTTTTGACTAGTCAAGTTGTACATCGGACATGTTACATAGGACGATTTTTCTCAATGACATAATCAATTATTAGTGTTACACTCAAAGGATTTTCAAATCTAAATAGATTAAAAGTTATGCTAAATCGCAACTCTCCTTACCGACGCATAGCTTGGTATAAAGAGAGAGAATACTAACTTAGTATAAAACTGGTTTATGCATTGGATAGTATAAAATTGAGGTATTCCTCATATGTATATTATGCGATTATTCGCCAGATCCGATTATTTTTCAGTTTCATGTGGTTTGTTATGATTGAAAAACATAAACAAAAAGCTGGAGAGAGTGAACCGTATGGAGATACGTTTTTATTTTACACAGATCATCCGGTTCAGTATTTTTCGCTTCATCGATTTTGTGGCGACGGCAGTTCGGTTCCCTCCAGTATGATCGCAGCTGGCGGATGTCGATAGAAGTCCAAAAATACCTGATAATAATTAAACATTTTGAATCAGACTCATCACCGTACCACAGAATATTCTCACCTTTCTCGATTCCCTCACCGGAACTCTTTTTTGTTCTTGATATCCCCATGATCAGTTGCAAAACCATGGAATCCCACAGCGACAGTGATTCACTCCAAAGCAATGATGAATGACCAATGTTCTGCAAAATACTCGTACCTAATACCTTCGATGATCTTTTGCTGTGGATAGCCAAACATCAGCATCTAAAATTATGGTGCTGCATTTAATTAATGTTTTATAAACACCTACTGCAGTTTTTTTTTCACTTGAAGCTCAGATGGCAAACAATACTTGTTTGAGGCGGTTTATGTCGATTATTGACAAGAGCTAAACAGGGAAACGAATTTTTATGCATAATCATGAGCTATGACATGTTATTCATACTCATGCATAAAAACAAACCTGGAATAGATTACTTTTTAATCAAAGCTATGAATAAACAAAGCTAAATGAAATAAAGATTAAATTTTAATCTATTTTAGATTAGTAATATTTTTGAGTGTACATTGGACGATTGTTCTACATGATACTAGATTCCCTTTCACAGATGTCATAGTAGAGTACACAGCAAAAAAAAAGTAATATGCATCAACGTAATTCACATGATGTACAACAAAAAGGATGTAATCAAGAAAAGTAGATTTATAATAACATCCATTTGGATGTCATATTACATCGCTCTTTAAATTACACCGAAACAAAATTACCATTCTCTATTACGTTGCATCTGTGTAATATTCACATATTAATAACTTAATTATTACACAGAATCAGATGCAACCAAGTCATTCCAAAATAGTTGTGTAATATTATAGTACGTTCAGACTACAGAGTTATAACATGTTATAGCGCTATCTTGATGGTGGTTTCTGTGGTACAATTATTTGACAACCGTTATAACATGTTATAACTGCTCAGTCTGGCCAGCGTTTTACACAAAATTTGTGTAATATCATATAACGTTGATGCTATATTAAATCTTGCAACACTGCCAGACTTTGTTCTGGATGATCATCCATGATGATTGATGCGTTTGTTTATTGTCGGGAGTGAAAGTTTTTTTTCGTGAGCGTCGAGCTAAAATCTACATGTAAGTAAAATTATGCTTAATTTTGTTTTTTAATGGTTCAATCACTCATTCCGGTTGATTGAATACGTCAAAAACGCGAAAGGCCTCCCCCAAATAGCGAATCTCCACTGTAGGTATTCCAACAAGAAACAATTTCGTCTTCCAAGTTGTTTTCAACAGAGTGCGTTTTTTGTGTCGTCGGTTCAGCGGTTTTACTCGAAAACCCCGTTAAATCCGACAAGTTTCCGTCGAATTTGGTTCAAAAGCGTAGATAAATACCCAGTGCAAACGGGGAAAGTGTTATTTTCAGGGAGAAAGTGAAATTAGCTCGAAAATCTTCGATTCTGTTATACCTTTTTGGCCCGTCTAACCTAAATTCGTCGGTGAAAAGAGTCAGACATCTTGTTTTCGGTTTGGTCGTTAAATTCACGCGCGGTGGGTGTTTTTCTCTGTCTCTGACTGCCCCCATTTACTCCTTCGAGAAATTACAAACCTGTGGTAAATCGGTAGTGCACCAAAACCGCGTTGGAAGCCCTCGGTAGAGCCGGATAGTGTAAACGGGTCCATCAAAAGTGATTCCCAAACATGGATCCGAAAACAAGAATTCAGCGAATAGTTGAAAGCAGGAAACAATACCAAGGTAGGATAACCAGAGGAAGGAAGGAACTACTTCGAGAGGAATCATGCATCAACGAAAACACGAATGTGGAACCAGAGAATACACCAGACCAATGCCCAGAAACCAGTACCCCACTCAGTGAAAAAGCTACAGTATTCCTCGAATTACGGAACATTCGTGAGGCAAACCCGAGCCACCCGATTCAGGTCGGCAAAATCCTCAAAGATCATGGTTTCAAATTATTCAGCGAAGTAATAAAGGTGGGGAAGTTTCGGTTCAAAATCACGGTCGACTCAGCAGAAGCCAAAATCAAACTAGGGCTGTTAAATCTGGCAAACCAAAATATCAGGCAATACGATCCGAAGATAAGGAGAAAAACCATATGCTTCATCAGAGGTGTACCAAGAGAGTTCGAAGAACAGGACATATTGGACAACATCGAAACGGAGCACGAGATACTGAAGATCGAGAGAATCCGAAGGAAAACCGGAGAAGGAGAACTAACTAACACCAACAACATCAAGATGACTGTGAAGGGACAAAACATGCCACAGAGAGTGAGAATCTTCGGATGCTATTTCTCAGTCGAACTTTACGTTTTCCCGATCCGACAATGCAGGAACTGCTGGAAGTACGGGCACGGAGCGAATTTCTGCACTGGTAGGGCTCGGTGCAACACCTGCGGCAAAAATCACGAAGGGAGCTGTTCATCTCACCCCAAATGTCTAAATTGCAAACAAGGACACGGAGCGGACGACGGATCATGCCCGGAGAGAAAAAGAAGACAAGCCATCCTAACTGACATGAAGAAGCAAGGATCATCATACGCTCAAGCAGAGCAGCACTATCCGAAGCTCTCGAACAGGTTCAATGGTCTAGAGGAAGAGGAATTTCCAGAGCTGGCAGGAACATGCAACCAACAGGGAGGAAAGGCAGGAGGATCGGGAGTACGAAGCCCAAGAAGAAGAAGAACGAGGAGTAGGGAATCATCAACATCAACATTGAATCAAGAAAGGAGAGATTCAAACCCCTTGGGAAATTGCTGGAGAACTTACAACAGGGAGGAATGCAGAAGATGCGTAGAAAACACACTACGAACGACCGACATCGAACGCCTCATCTCTAAACTTCGGCAGGTGCTACTACTCGAAATAAGGACGAAAAGATGGCTGGGATCGCTCAAAAATCTGCAAATGAAGATCTTCATCCGCTCACAAGAGGCCCAGTCGGAAATCGAAAGAGACCAACTGCTAGTCGAAATTGGGCTGGACATTCAGAAGATAATCGAAGAAAATGACCAAGGATGTGTACACGAAATCAGAACCGCCGAAAACAATCACAGTGGAGTGTAAAACCCTCAGAATCCTGCAACACAACATCCAAAGCATTAGACCCATGGAAACAAGAGCCGAACTCGCCCACTTTCTGGACGAAAACAACATCGATGTTTGTTTGTTGCAGGAAATATGGTTGAAGGAAGGGGAGTACTTCAGATTAAGGGGATTCTGCATGGAATCAGCTAGAAGGCCAAGCGGATACGGAGGAGTAGGGATCCTACTCCACTCCAGCTATGGATACCAGGTCCTAAATCTAGGTAGTTTCTTGCCGATAGAAGTAGTAGCAGTAAAGATCGTGCAAGGATTCCACCCTATCACACTAATTTCGGTATACGTACCCCCGGATCACTCGCTAATCGGAGAGATCTTGCCAAAAATAAGGAGTCTATTTGAAGCACTTGCAGACATCGAAGGAGAAGTCTTGGTTGGAGGAGACTGGAACGGGCATCACCCCTCATGGGACTTGGAAGCAGATGCATGCAGGAAAGGAAGCCTGATAAACACGCTGATTGAAAACTCCCCGTTTGTTCTGCTAAATGACGGATCGACAACTTGCCTAACCACCACCGCAAGACGTAGCTCCACCGTAGATTTGACACTAGCAACTCCGGGAAC